AAGAAGAAGAAGAAGAAGAAGAAGAAGAAGAAGAAGAAGAAGAAGAAGAAGAAAAAGAAGAAGAAGAAGAAGAAGAAGAAGAAGAAGAAGAAGAATCTAACAGTTGTTGCTAGTGTGTGGGTTACATATTCCATTGTCAAGAGGCTGACATTGCGAGAATGCACACTTTCAGCCCACAGGGATCATTGTCTTGGCGACACAGTGAGCAAACGCATTGACAAAGAAGTTCATTGATATTAATACTTCACCTGTCCTTGGGCCTTACTCTCCTGTCAATGTATCTGCGTTACTCATAATGAGGTTTTAATACTAATCATATTCTTAATGGAATTTTGGAAACTCAAACATATCATTAAAGACTAAATGAGTCAAATACAATGGGCTAAACGTAAAAGCTGCCGCATTCTTAGGACCACTTTGACTACAAGTCAGTAAGGAAGTGTCCATGCGATAAAAATGCTACCAGACGAAAGTCAACTTGTGGGAAAACAGGTTACCGTAATTCTTCAACCAGTTCGCAGTCGTCCGTCCATGATCAGCGTGAAAAAATGGTGTTGAACATGGCTTTGGCACGAAGATATTGCTGTAAATTTACCCGTCTTATTCCTCCGTTTGTGATTGGTAGGCATAGAATGGCAGATGGCTAAGAAGGATTTCGGAGGAAATTAAGTTTTCAGAGAGAAATGAAACAGGCAGAGAGTGTCTTCAAAATATATTTGTCAAAAACAACAGTCTTCCAACGTGGTCACGGCAAATCTACGTTCTGCCTTGGTTGCATTTTCTATGGCATGGTTACAGCAAATTCAGGTCTTCGTATTGAAGACGTTCGCCAACTGTTATTAGGAAAAGGATGAGAGCAGCGAAAGCCTTTTTGTGTTTGTGGTCTGAACGCGATGAGCAGTAGCATTTTCAGTACTGTCTTTACAGACTGATTACGTGTTTTTTTTCTGTATAATATTTTGGAGCAAACATGGCTTTGGTGTCATTTCAGAACACTCACTACAGTTTTCGCTATTTTTTTTAACCCTAGGGAGATAAGGAAAAAAGTCAGAAAGGTGTTCAATCACATACCCGAATAAGTGGCAGACAAAAGCAGGCGTGCCTTGAGCCCTTGACTTAGATAACCATATCATTCAGTGTTGAACCTGTCAGAGAAACAGAGACGAACAATACATTTTAAGATCTTTCCGGCGGCAAAAGAAAACACACGGTGAAAAAAACAACAACCAACCAACAACAACAATAAAAAAGATACAGAGGAACTCTGCGATACCAACGTGCATGCGGGAACACAATATCATATGTCTGTTTGCTATTGTGGTTGTTTGTTTGAGTTGTTTGCTTCTTCTAAACACTAGAAATTAATACTTCCAGTCGACGTGCTTCTCGTAGAAATTTAACTTGTGGAAAAATCTGATTAGTTTGTTATTTTGTGACTATAGTGAATGTCTGCGTGTGGGTGCGTGTGTGTTGGGGGAGAGGGAAAGTGTAAAAATGTAATAACACGTCTAACTTATCTATTATTGATTGATATCGTTGGAGGTTAATGTAAACCCTGAGGTGTCTAGCAGGAAAATGTTGTGAAAGAGTGACATAATATGCAAATAAATCTAATCTACGCGTTCAGAATCACTGAACACGTTAACATCCAGTTTCACTCATCGGCTCTGACTCTGCATTCAAAGTTTCAAAGCAATAAAAGAGAATAAATAAAACTATGCCTTTGATGAAAAGATCTAAACCTCTCTTCGCAGTTATTTCTAAAGAGGAAGCCGACCGTGACAATTTCAGAATACAGCATAGATGTGTTTAAAAGGGGGTAAAGGGGGTAACTCTATGGAATATTCACACAAGTCGAATCCCTGAGAGAAAGTAATGTCACGGTGCAAGATTAATTATATGACGAAAATTGTCAAGGTCGTGTATCGAAATTTTACATGACACGATGAGCACAGTAACCTCCCCTCCCTCCCTCCCTCCC